TCAGAGCCTGACGCGGGGGTCGAACTCACAGACCGCAAGATCGTGACCTGAGCTGAAGTCGGACGCTTCACCGACTGCGCCACCCAGGCGCCCCCAAATCATCTTTAATAAGCATGACTTCTTTAGAAAAATTCCTAAAATTAAAAATTCCTGAAATTAAACAGGGATTTTCTACACTGTTGTAAAAAAGCCACAGCACAAAAGGCTCTTCAGGTGCAAGGATATAAAACTATGCAGTCACCCTCCCGCCATGTAAATCACACATTATAGAAGCCATTAAAAATTTACTTGAATAAAAGCTTTCCCATTAACTATTCTACTAGAGTGTTCATTTCTACTTTTTGACTTTCCTTCCTAAAACCTTTAATAGTTCACACGATTTCACTTATATGTGGTATCTAAAAGCAAAAAGCAGAAAGCAGAAACAGGCCCATAAATACAAAGAACAAACTGGTGGTTGCCAGAGAAGAGGGAAGCAGAGCGATGGGCAAAATAGGTGCAGGGGAGTGCGAGGACAAGCTTCTAGTTATGGAAATGAATAGGTCACAGGGATGAACAGTACAGCACAGGGAATACAGTCAATGGTACTGTAATGGCACTGTGGTGACAGTTGGTAGCTACACTCAAGTTGAGCACAGCACCCAGAACTGTCACTGCCAATCACTACGCTGCACATCTGAAACTAACACAGTGTGTCAACTATACTTCAATTAAAACAAAACACAAACTTCAACGGCTCCTAAGTTTTAATCAATGACTACTCATAGTACTTCAATCTTTAAAAATGTAAATTTCTAGAAGCAAAACCAAACTAGGATAACAATTTTTAAGACCCAGAATCCTTCTGCCTTGGTGGAGACAAGTAGGTTAAGTAAACACATTTCTGAGGAACAGCTTGTTCTGAGTACAGTTGTTCCTACTTCCCAACGTGACAAGTTATAACGGATGTGTTTATGTTGGGACAGAACAAAGATTTGATGCTTAATAGGAAGAAGTTTCTATATTTAATAAAGGGTTGGGTGGGGGTGCCTGGGTGGCTAAGTCGGTTAAGCATCCAACTTTGGCTCAGGTCATGATCTCATGGTTCGTGGGTTCGAGCCCTGCGTCAGGCTCTGTGCTGACAGCTCAGAGCCTGGAGCCTGCTTCAGATTCTGTGCCTCCCTCTCTCTGCCCCTCCCCTACTCACACTGTGTCTGTGTCTCTCAAAAATGAATAAACGTTTATTAAAAAAAATTTTAATAAAAAAAAAAGAAATGGAAAAGATTTGGCTTCAAAATACACTACTAAAAAATGGAATCATACTAAAGTCTAAAATGAAGACACAGGTAAGGATATTAGAAACAAAGAAAAATGCCAACGCAGGTACTTACTGGTTCCTTCTTTTACAGTTGATTAAAGTAATCAGCATGTGTTCTGTTTTTTATATGTACCTTTTTTTATGAAATAAATGAGTAAAAAAACTACTTCACCTTTAAATCTGATCTCTGTCTTACAACTTCCTTCAGAACACCCATGAGAATATCTGTAGCCAATGTCCTTTCATGAGCCTCATCAAGAATTATTACACCATAACGCTCCAGGAGGGGATCATTCATAGCTTCACGAAGTAACATCCCATCAGTCATATACCTATATTCACAAAAAAAAAAAAGTTGGTCAAGGTTCATTTAGGGCATTTAAAACTGAACTTCATGACATAAAAATAAAACGCAAAGACATCAGGTGAATCAAAATTAAACCTTCTCCCAAAACAAATGTGCTATTGTTTCATAATCAATTGCAAAATTAACCATCAAGAAAATTTTCTAAAGAGTATATATGAAACAAGTCATACACTACAAAATCTTGTCAAGTGAGACTGTAATGGTGAAAACGTGTTAACAAATTTAAATCTGATTATGGAATATAATGATCACGTGGTTTCACACAAATACCAAAGCAAAAGTCATCACTTAAATGAGTGTCTAAAGTACAAAATTCAAAACACAAATATTCAACCTGCAAAACAAAACTAAGACACTGGTTTTGTAACATCACTGAAATGTTACCACATGCAAATTTACACTTGTTTAAAGCCTCAGTTAATTCCCCACTTACGCTAACAATAGGCCACTCGGTTCAAAAGAGCTAAAACAGCATGTAAGTCTACCATCTCTTTTCCCAAGCCCCACCCAAATTCAATGAAATGATGGCAAAGAAGCACAAAAAGGAATACATTCATGGGATAGTAAGGGGCAGCACCAGTGCTGTAGAAATGTTAATATGTATGAAAGAGAAAGGCAAAGGACATCTGCTAATCAATGAACTAGAGAGGGAAACCAGGTTTAGAGAAGGTTCAAGACAAATTGGCTAATGTAGCACACAGATGAAGTGTGGTTTGCAAATACCGGTATGGGCAGCCATCTCCCATCCCTTCTACTCCACCTGCTACCGTCACTAGCACAAAACAACCATATTTTGTTTGGCATGTGGACAAAATAAAGTCCACCTGCAAATGCTGAAGTCACAGTTCATTCAATTAATGTGTTTATTTACAAATTGAAAAACAGTATAAAAATCTGAACTCATCATTTATGACTTTGCTATTTTGGGTCTCTACTTTTCACAAAACAGCCTAACCTGATCTTTCACGGACCAACTTGGTATTTTTAGCTAATGCCATCTGTTGGAGCACTTAAATTCACCAAATTGACAATGTACAATAGAAGTGAAGCCTTCTCTTTAATTCACCTGAACTTAATTCTAAATTTAATAAGACTTTTGGCAAACAAACCCATCCTACTCAATATATTTTAGGCTTCTTTCTTCTTTGGCCATATTTTTTAAAGCAAACTACGTTTCTGGAGTTGACACAGCACTACCTGCAAGATTATTTTATATTAAGACCATGAAAAAAAAAAACCAGTGCCAATTAAACTATGACTCAATGGCTTAATGACAGTGCAGCACAGAGCATGAATCAGCTACACTAGAGCCTGTAGTTGCTTTGAAATAGCTTTGAACTATTTGAGGATATTTAGAACTTCTCCTGCCTTCAGATGTGATTACTGACATAAGACAGGCAATCCTTTTCCACATTATCTCAGTAGCAAAACGTAATACAGTTTTCATCTACTTTGCGAGTAACTTCCTCAGACTCAACAAAGCGCCTGTCTGTTGCCTTGCAAGGCAAGAAAAAAAAACAAAAAAACAAAAACCAAATTGGTCACTTGTCAAACAATAAATATTTGTTTAAATACTATCAAATTTACACCACCATACTGCTCAGTTTCCAAGTTTACTCATTTCAAAATAGAATCCTAGTGTCATCTTTTTGAAGACATTTTAATTAGCAAGTTACCTCAATACATAGTTCCAACAGTAGCACATTACTTACTTGAAGTGAAGTGAAATAGGTACAGTTAGATCAAGTTCAAGCATTCACAGGCAATAATCACCAAACAGCTACCAGTCTGTAAGACCCTCAGACTGTAAAAATGTACCTTCAATCTCACATACTAAAAATATGAGAAAGTCACAGAACTGGTAACAGATCAGACTTGTACTTGAAAAGTCCTTGAAACACATTAAGATAAAAAGCCACTCTCTTTATTTTGATCTTTTTCCTGCTCAGACTCCTCAAGCTTCAACAGCGTAAAGTAAAGGCATTCAAAAGCACAGTTAACCCAAATACTCATTCTTTTATATTTTTCTGAGAACAAATGCTAAGAACAAATTGGTGTAAATGGCAGAACACCAATACTGTACATTAACGGAACTATTTGCCATGTTTTATTAGAAACTAGGCATAGTGTATGTACTCAGTTAAATGGTCAACCAAACCCTCAGACTTCCAGACTCCAGAGACAGACTGTCAACACTACTCTAGTACCTCAATATTCAATCATCATCCAATGATCCAATTCCACGAGATGCTACTGTTATCTACTGCTATACTGTTATCACAGGAATATAAGAAACTTACTGTTTGTGCTATAGAGAACTTCAGGAAAAACTACATTTTTAAAGTTGAAAGGTCTCTTAAAAATACAGTCAATACTGCTGCTTTTCCAATGAACAAAATTCATTATTAGTAGTTAATCTTTCCAGGGTCTTGAAGCCAATTAAGCAGCTTATTAAGACTAGTTATCACTGTACTGATTCCCAATCCTGGGCCCCTCCTACATTAACACACTCTCCTCAAAGTCCCAAGAAAATGTACGTATAAATACAATAGCAAAAAGTTAGCTAGTGTGGGGGTGGGAGTTGGAAACATAGGGAAAAGAAGTTTGTGATCTACTGAACAGAGATTATATTAAAACAAACAAAAGTATTACTCTTCTCTGTCCTTCTTCATCTACAGTGGATGCTGTTAAGTCATCCGCACTTTTTTTTTTTTGGCCCTGATTTAATTGATCCCAACCCTTAGGTGGTCTTTTGTTTTAAATCAGGGAAACAGAAGTAGATCTATCAATAACCCAGCACCAGATGCAAGTCACATAAAAGTGTCCTCCAAAAACAGCTATGTCCTTTTCCCCCTCCCCATCTGACTTGAAAACTGAGCAATGCCCTCTTTAAGTGTATGCCAAACTGGACAGATTTCTCCCTTAGATCTAACTAACATCTTTCTCATGTATCACTTCAAAATTCTAATTCTGTCTCTACTGGAGTATCTTATTAACATCTGAAAAACTTAAGTATATTTTATTGGAAAACTGGTGTGTTAGGCCTTGAGAGTTTTGTGACAATCCTTCTGTTGTGTGTCACCACAATCACAGACTCCTTTATAGCATGCTTTGATTACTAGGCTTGAGGCAGTCGTTACCACTGTATTATACGTATACACAGTAAATTCTTCTATGTGTGCTATATGTCTGAGGTTTTGAAATTTTAAATAAAAAGTATACTAGTATGAATTTAAGCCATTGACTCTGCGAACATTGTGGACTTTTCAAAGTACAATAAGAGGTTCAAAGTATAGGCATATTCACTGGCAAACTAGAGGGGATGAGGGTCTAGATCAAGACCCAAGTTCAACAGGTCAAAAATGTCAGAAATAATGAAGACCACAACCAACTGACCTGGCCTATTTCAAAACCAGAGGGGAGGCAGGGAGCAAGACCACAGACCCATCATCCCCAGGTTTCCTCCCTCTCTGTACTCCTCCTTCCCTCTAGACCCCTCCGGCCTCTGCTGTCAGTGTCGTTTACTTATGCTACAGAGAGGAAAACAGACGGAAGGATCCAGCAGTTTGCCTAATTGAGCCAATACCAGATTTACTGGCAACTTTGGCTACATGATTTATGAGATGATTTTCTTCGTGTTCAGAGTGACTTGATTCTTATTCTTTATGCTGTTTTGTATGGAACAGCACTTTATCTGTGTTTTAACAGAACTGCTCCCTCGTATCCTTTATGGATTCTTGTTTTTCTTTCCTTGTTAAATTATGCACAGAGGGGTGTGTGTGTGTGTGTGTGTGTGTGTGTGTGAGAGAGAGAGAGAGAGAGAGAGAAATTAAGGCCTTTATTAACCTTGAGAAAAAAAGAAAAGCTACCCGATGATCTGCTGTACTACTAAATAGATGAGGCCCTCCACGTATGTATAAATAAATAAATAACCTAACACAGAGCACAGAAAAAGGCAGAACCAAGTACTAGTGATCCTATGAATTATAACCATTTTCCTTTTAAGTTTTACCACCTTTCATAATAATCATGGAGTATTTATGCAGACTAAGGCATCAGTCACAAAAATAGTGTGTCACGCTATTAAAACTGTGATTACCTAATTTTGAAGTTTCAATGACAGACTAATAATTGAAAATTGCACAAGAGAGTCAAATTCTACATTTGACTGGATACCCTGTTACCCAGTGTTTTCCAGTCTTGAAACAAAGACTCGCTTAAAAAGTCATCTGTATTACCTGAGAACTGGTTAGAAATACAAAACTTGGGTCTTGCCCCCTGACACACTTAATCACAAATTTGGGGATGAGGCTTAGCAATCTATTCTAACCAGCTTTCATGTGACTCTGACGCTCGCTAAAGCATGAGAAACAGTACTCTAAGTCAAGGCAAATAAGAGGCACATTAAATAGATGCCTAAAGCAGCAAAAACATGCTTGGAAAGCAAGTCAAAAGCAGTTCATATTTCCAACCCTGTTTAATTAAGAAAATAAACCAAAAAAAACCTCAGCGTGCTGAGTAGTATCAACTTGAGTATTTTTTTGTAACGGGCACACACAAATGGCATAGTACAACAACTAGTGCCAAACCTCACACCAGCCAGTATCACCAATTCTGACATGAACCAAGTATGGCAAAACATGAGATACTGCAAAGGCATTATTTGTTTACTTTTGTGTTTACATATACATAAGAGTTTTTTGAAGTATCTCTCAAGTGGTCTGGTTCAAAGAACGAATCATAAAAAAGATCCCACAGAAAGGTGAAAATGTTTCCCAAAATGTACACCAGAAAGTTTTAAATTTTTCATGAACTCTATCAAATTATTTATAACTTTAATGAATCTCAATGACTAATGCTCAAATTATGAGTAATGAAAATGTGTCAATATGGGGAAATAACCCCTAATAACTCAGTGTTATGTTTTCTGATGAGGGAATATATTGAGATAGAGACTGTGCGCCTTCCTGAATCCCTACCTCAAACCTTACATCCATCTAAAAAAAATTCCAAATTGAGGTGCCTCGGTGGCTCAGTCAGCTAAGCATCCAACTCTTGATTTCTGCTCAGGTAATGAACTCACAGTTCATGAGTTCCAGCCCCAAGTAGGTCTCTGTGCTGACAGTACAGAGCCTGCATAAGATTCTTTCTCCTCTCTCTCACTCAAAATAAACTAAAAAAATATAAACAATAGATATATTTTATATATTATATATATAT